GCATTCCTGACCAAAATGAATAACCTGAATCTAATCATGAGAGATTATCAGCAACCCACATAAAGAGACATTCTACAAAATAACTGTCCAGTACTCTTCAAAAATGTCAATATCATAAAACACAGAGCCTCAGAAACTATTCCAGATTAAAGAAGATGAAAGAGACATGATAAGTAAGTTAGAACTATTAATGTTATAGTACACATTTTATATTATGACAATATATTGTAGTTGTGTAAGAGAACTCCTTGATTTTAGGAGAACAATTTGTTTTTAGAAAATATACACTGAAGCGTTTAGGCAAAGAGAAAAAGAGAGAGAAAACACAAATACAGACAATTGTTAACATTTGGGGAATCTGAGTAAAGGTACCTGGAATTTCTTTGAGCTATTTTAGCAACTTTTTTTAAAATATATATATTTTATTGATTTTTTACAGAGAGGAAGGGAGAAGGACAGAGAGTCAGAAACATAGATGAGAGAGGAACATCGATCAGCTGCCTCCTACACTCTCCCCACCAGGGATATGCCCGCAACCAAGGTACATGCCCTTGACCAGAATCGAACCCAGGACCTTTCAGTCCACAGGCCAAGCCTCCATCCACTGAGCCAAACAGGTCAGGGCTATTTTAGCAACTTTTTGATGTCTGAAAATTTTAAATTCAATATTTTAAAAAGGCATTTTCTTTTGTCTAGACCAGGAAAATAGAGCAGTTTGTCTGCCTCTTCCATTCCAAACTGTTAGGCGTTGAATTGTGTCCCTCGCAAAATTCTTTGTTGAAGTCCTAACCCCCAGTACCTCGTAATGTGACTGTATTTGGAGAAAGGGTCTTGAAAGAGGTAAGTAAGGTAAACATATGGGGGAGGGGGAAAGCGGCCTCATCCAATATGACTGGTTTCGTGGCATAAGAAGCCAAGATTAGGATATGACATACACAGAAGGAAGACCATGTGGGGACCAAGGGAAGAAGGACCCACAAGCTCAGGAAAGAGGCTGCAGAAAAAAAATCCTTGCTGACACCTTGATCTCAGATTTGCAGCCTCCAGAATTGGGAGAAAATAATTCCTGTTGTCGAAGCCACCCAGTTTGTGGTGCTCTGTGAGGCAGAGCTCAGAAACTAATACACAAATGGCCCATTTTCAGTGTCTCGTAGTAAGTGACTGAAAAGGCCCACCTGCCAGTGCAGAATGATGCTCCACAGCAAACCCAGCGTCAGCTTGTGGTTTCCATCTACAATGTCCGTCCCTCCGATGTTCACCAAATCCACCTGGCACGATGGAAGAAAATAAAGGTTAAGACCATTGCTCCACGGAAGCTGAGGTCTGGGGTGGAGCACATCTGGACAGCCACACATGGGAATGATAAGAGAAATCAGGTAAACCTAAATCTCAAAAATGTGTTACTTGTACACTAAATCATTAAAATAATCAGAAAAAAAGAGTGACTATCCCTTCACTCATAGAAAAAGTTCAAAACTTCTCATAAGAAAAATGTTTCCATAAATGAGCTGATGCCCATGCACAGAGCAGGTGGCTGGTTTCAACAATAAATAATCCCGATGGCACCCAAGAGCCCCCAAGTCACCTGACCAACTTACGTTGTTCTGATGTAAAACCTGCAGCACTCTGTTGACATTATTTAAAGCATGCACCCTTGTGGAACCACGTTCCTTCGGCTGGAAAACAAAACACAACATCAAGTGAGACAGTCCCTCCACAGCCTGACCAAAAAATGACATTGAGACGGACAGAGCACAGCAGCTCAGCATGGAGACCTCTCTGTGCTGGAGCTCTGGCTGCTTCTCAGGCCGCGTGGGGGCTGGTGTTGCCGGTGAAAACTCCCCACTCCAACGCCGTAAGGCGGTAGTTCCCCAGCTTGCCTGGACACTGAAACCTCCAGTGAGCTTCCAAAACACCGATGCCTCTTTGACTTAGTGAGCCTGGGTGCAGTAAAGGTTTGGAATTTTTAGAATTCCCTGGTGATTCCAATGCACAAAGTTTGGGGGACTAAGCTTCTTTTCTCTAAATTGGTCTGGATGAAGGGAAGTTTAGAAGTTGTATCACATCCGTACTTCACTAGGGTGGACAGAGCCAGGGGCTCAGGGGTGCTATCCCAGGTTCCAGCTAGCATGACAAGGGCCCACTGGGAAGGCAGGAATTGCCACCTGGGGAAAGGTGATCTGGGAGGGTTCTTCCTGCCTCACTGGCCAGGGAGTCTTATCTGAGAGAGGGATCAGCCTCTTCCACAGGCCTGCCCACCGTCTGGAAGGCAAGGGGAGTGCAGCACCCCACTCTTTGGTAAGAAAGGAATTCATCTTTGGGAGTGCATCTCTCTATACGTTTTATAGTAATTCTACCTCTAGTGTTCAAGTCTGTATTCATAAAATTGCATCCTCTTCAGTAGCAGAGCTATTTCTGTATAAGTACACAGTACCTTGTATATAAAGTAATAGAGTGGGATTTGATGGAGAAATAAAACAATACTGAAGATTTGAATAAAATAAATCTCATCATCTGAACAGCCTTGTTTTAATATTTGTTAAATAACCATGTCTCTATACACCCTGCTATTCAAAACATTATGCCCTCTTTAAGCATCCGTTCTTCTTTATAATTCTCTACTGGGCTGTCTGAGAAAAATAAACATTTGAGTAATTTTATCTTTGATAAACATATAGCACCCTCCCAGAAAGCCTGAATATTGCTCTATCAAAAAGTTCATTGAAACACTTTTTTTTTTTTAACATTCGTATGTCAGCTTTTACATTTTGAGCAGCCCCAGTGGGTCCTCAAGTACCACTAATGCTGAGAGACAGGCAACGCCTTGGCCTGGTTCTCTAGGCTGACGCCTCTCACCAGCGATGTTCCCGTGAGGCCTTCCAGCAGCTC